TATTGGCACATGACTTGTTTCGAAGAAAGCCCAGACAGTTGACCACACTTTGGAAAACTCGCCTGCGCAACCTTCGGGATCTGCGGCGTGATAGGCGAGCATGGAGTCTCCGAGCACTCCTAGCCATGAGGGTGTAACGGTGGCATCCGATTTTGGAGGCGGGGATGTAATCACCGCCGACAGGACAGCGGGTATTTGCTCCATACCACTCTGCGTCCCAGAATCAACAGAAGCTGAGAGGAGATCGGAAAGGATAGAATAGGCCGATTGAGTAAGATAAGGATTTCCAAGTCTGGGGAGGCTGAGAAGAGCGGTCGTGATGGATGGAATGGTCTTATTGCACCAGTCAGGAGCTAATTTCGCAATTGGAAGGCAGCGCTCACATCAAGGGGAAGATTTTGAAGAATAGGACGCAGTAAGGCAAGTAAATGGATGGCGGTATCAGAGGAAGAAGATTCCGCGTTTTTGCTTGTCCCAGCTTTGGGTAGGACACCCGAGCACGCCTGGTGAAGAGATATCTGCATCCATTCGGCTACGCGTTGGGCGTATGGATGGCGTAATAGGGGACTGGGTGGGTTTGACAGAACGTCGTTGACAAGATCTGCAGCTCTCTTCCGAACTTTTGGTCGTGGGTCAAGACACAATTGTAATATGGTTGCAAAAGCCCGCCTGACACCGATAACATCCAGCTGCGATCTATCAAGAGCGCGGAAAATAGAGTTATACAGTGTCAGCTGCGATCTCAGTGGCGGGGCATGACTTGCGAGTGCAGGAAACAGTGGGGAAGTTAATGATAGAAGCGTATTGAGATTCGTCTGGACGACCGGATGGGGGGCGAAAGGGGCCACTAGAGCGAGTAAGTAAAGTTCAGCAGGTAGCAAATCACCTTCTCCGAACGTCGTTTCTTTCTTCTGCAGGGTACCATCGAGAGTAGTTATGATGGCGGCGAAATACGCAGTTGGTGTTCGCTCGGCGCCTTTCTCCTCAAGGGTCGACTCCAAGGCGTGGAGAAGATTTGCGGGCGCCTTTTGATGGGCAAGAGATGAAGATGTATGAGGACGTATCTTGGCCAGCGCCTCCTCCATTGATGGAAAAACGCAGATGAAAAGTGATCAAGTAGGAGGACAACTTAGGTGTGTGCTGACATAAGCCACTCGCTGAACCCGAGCCACTGGACGTCGTCATGCTCTTAAAAGCTGGACTTGGACTGGACGACGTTTACTTACTTGCTTGAATACCTTTGCTCTATTTTATGAACTAACGAAGAGAGCCGCGACGAGCAGTGACATGCCCAAAGGAACTCCAACTCCTTGGTCTTACATCCTCATTCGGTATGTACTGTACTCGCCAGTGACGCCGCAGTCTTGCCGTAACTTGTGATGCTACAGGCTTCTGTTCAGATTTGTACTGAAGATTTTCTATGGAACTATTGTCGTCGAGAATGTCGAATGCATCCCGAAGACTGGACAATCATGGTGAGCACGTCACACACAATTATTGGTTTGGGTGTCTGACGTGCAGTTAGCATCGTTTGCGCAAATCATAGCAATTCATTGACGGATGCACTGTAAGTTGACTTTGACTCGTAGATACATCATATGTGGCTTGCGTCTTGACGACTTTATTTTACAGCCTCCTGGTCACGTCCATTCCTCCAGAGGTAAGTCGCATTAACTCGTCACTCGCTGTGACTGGCGAACCGAATGCCCTAGACGCGTAACATGCTGCGTCTCACTGCCAAATCCACTCAATTTGGGCATAAGACATTCACCAGCTGGCTTATTGAGTCCGCCGGTACTGTCCCAATCAAAAGACGCAGAGACTTTGACAATGGTCAGGCGGATAACAGCGAGGTCATGAGTAAGCTTATGGAGGTCAAATATATGCTATTGTATCAGCATTCATGAAGCTGATGTCAACGTATCCCAGGCTCTGGAGCTCGGTGACGCCATATGCCTGTTCCCGGAGGGGATGAGCCGCTACCATCCTACTATCGCGCCACTAAAGACCGGAGGTTTGTGTAAATATTTGAGGAATGACTACAATGACTTAAACATCAGCCTAGTTGCACGGATCGTGTCTGACGTGCTGACGCGGAATAGAGACAACGCCGACTTCTCCGTATCGATTCTTACTTGTTCCATAACCTACATGTAAGCCTGGAAGCAACTGCGAGTTTACTTCCTCATGACGCGTCATACGAGGCACCGCCAGCATTTTCGTTCAGATGTGCTCGTTACCTTCAATTCTCCCATGACTTTTACCCCCAAGGTAATCCGTCCGTCCTTCTTGCTTTAAGGTCGCTCTTTGAACTGTCTTCATACAGGATAACCCTGAGCTTCTTGCTCCTGTAGATTTCAACAGTATACGTGAGGTGACAGCACGAATGCATCAGCAGATAAGCTGTCGAACCATTGATGCACCATCATGGGATCTAGTCCGCTCAGCAAAGGTTGCCTCACGTTTATACGTTCCATTAGGCACGCACATGAGTCTAGGTGACTATGTGCGTGTGACAAGAACATTTGTGGAGGCATTCAAGGCATCTGAAGACGTTGAAGATAAAGGCATTACCGCGAGTGGTGAACACGTCCAGCGCGCTTTGGAAGACCATGAGATTCGTCGTCTTCGCCAAGATCTGAGGGTGAGTTCCATCGATGTACGGCTGTGCTTCCTCGCTGATCGTAACACGTAGAACTATCAAGACCAACTCGTGCGCTGGGGTATTAAAGACGACCGCGTTCGTCGACCGTTGCTGAGGCACACCATCCTCTTTCGAATGCTCATCCGCCTCACCTGGTTCCTGTGCCTACTAACGATATCATTACCCGGTCTCCTATTATGGATGCCTGTGTTTGCTACCACTTTTTACGCTGTGCATAATTTCAAGAAGAGCGGGCCCATTTGGGATACGTGGGACGAGATTGCACAGTACAAACTCGTTTATGGCCTTTTCTCCGGTCTGTTTGTCTGGGGAGCGTCCGTGCTTCTTACGCTTCCTATAGCAGGAATTACCGTGATTTTGGTCCCGTCGTTGATGTGGATGACGCTCAGGTGGCTCGAGGATGCGATATCTGCCGTCAGAGCATTCAACGCCCTCACACGATTGTTACGAGTAGGCAAAGTGACATTGAAGGAAATGGGCTCCGCGCGCAAAGACCTACACTCGAGGGTGATGAAGCTAGCCGTGGGGACACTAGGTCTTCCCAATGATCCAGAAAGATACTTTTTGGAGAACGGCGGACAGGAAAAAGGGAGAGTGCGAAGCAAGTGGGAGAGTGGGGCCAGGTATTTCTCCGTAAGGAGGAGGAGAAAGAGGGATTGGGATGAGACGTTGAGGCTTTATGACAAGATGGATTATCCAGAGGATGGACAATGAATATCCGTGTTAACAGATCACAAGAGCTATTCGACTTTTGCGTGCTAGCTAGCTAGTCTTGCTTGTAGCTACATAGAGAGTGCTCGCTCTTTATTATAATAATGGGGTAATGGACAGCCCGCTAGCGGTAGCACTGGCGCACAAGTAATATAAATATTATCAGGCATGGATTCGTTCCCTCTAGACTGTAACACGGAACCGAGGCTGGGGTTTGGGTATGTAGGAGTCATGTGTACACGGTCTGAGAAGACGAGCAAGTGTTCAAGCCGAGAGTGGAACGTGTATGATAAATTTCAACAAAGGGGGCCAGGGGATCTACTGAATCATCAGGACCATAATTCGTCCGAACACGTGTATGGACGAAGGGAATTTCATCCTCTAATCGGTTGATAAGCTCTGTTTCCAGCAGCCCATTTGTGGCCACGATCTGCGGCGATTCCAGTGACGATGACGCCGACGCCGACGGTGATGCCTGCTACCCAGGAGATAGCATTGAGAACAAAGCCAGCCCCTGTCAAGCCTAAGTATGCATTGACCGAACTCGTAACAAGCAACGCACCAGGTTTGGCATGTTCGAAAGCAGGGAATCTATCTTTACGATAGAGATCGGTAACCAGAATGAAAGTCGCTAATTGGAATGCAGCTGCAGAAACACAACCAGTCAGGCTTCTCTTCGTTGAAATGCGAAGTGGCATACTATGGAGCAAGACCAAGCCTGCCACAGCTCTCCAAACCCTGCGCCTTCTCGAGTGCGTACTGACGCCAATTAACAGGGCAGCCAACGCCATCGCCGCAAAGCCGATACCGAGCTCGGTGAAATATTGAGCGGACGTCCATGCAGCACAGAATATGTGATTTTCATCTTCGCACTTGTCTTGCACTCGGAGCGGGAAAGGTCTGCATTCATACTCGACATATTCAAGGCGACCGCCGTTGTTTGGACCGGGAATGTCGACGACGGTACGCTCACAACGCTCCATGAGACCATATCGGACGGTGAGTCTGGCATTTAGAACATCGTATTTTGCGATGAGCCTTCAAATGCAACGGGTCAGGCTGCTACCCGGTGGAAAGATTTTCTCTGGCGAACCAATCCGGAAGACGAGCAGATAGGATATTCTGGAGATACGCCATTCAGTGCGCAGCGCAGGGAAGTAAAGAAGAAATGCACTTACGATGACCAAGACGAGGAGAACAGCAATGAAGGTCACGACATAGGACGTTTTTCTCATATTCTGCGGGCTGTTGAACGCGGTTGAAGAGAAAGGGTGTTTTTCTAAGAGAGCGCAGACCAGAGCGTATTTATCCCCATCACTTAGGGTGTCAACATGCTCCACGGGAAGTCTGCTTACGTAACCAGCACTTCACCTTGCACTTATCGTCTCGTCCATCAGCAAAAATCTCTCGTGTCGTTGAGAAGGAGAAGCCATCAGCCAGCAGTGCGTTAGAAGTCGCCTAGTCTGGCAGAGAATGTCTCATCGGAGTTTCAATGGCTCTCACCCCGGTGAGCAAATAACAAGGTAAACTGCAGTGGCGTGTCGCTTCGGCTAATCGTCTCGCTCGATCCCACACTAGGACTCCGGTGTGGTTGTATGGACATGCGAAGAACACCCCACGCATCGTCCTTGTCGATTAGTGGTTAAATCATCACGTTGTGGAAGCGTTAACTGGCGGGTTGCGTGATCACCGTGAAGCCGGAAGTTCGAATCCTCCCTGGGACATCTTTTTTGTTGGCTCAATGGCAACCGGCGATAGGTCGAGAAAAACGGATAGAAAAACGTCCGTTCATGCTATAGTACAACGAATACAAATGCAGAAGCAAGATATCTGTCAACATGCTGATACTCAACTCCTTACACTCTAGGTACCCCTTGCACAACTCGTGGATACCTCTGAGCAATCATCTATCGAGACCAGTCAGATTGGGGACATTGGTAAACTTTGCAACTTACACCGAAGAGGTCGGGCGCACGCATTTCCAAAACCTGCGGATCCTCCCCCAGACCGACAAAACTAGCAGATAGTCAGCCATATAATCACATCATTGTCAGCTACTCACATGGTCGACACACCGGCCTCGATGGCAGAGGACAAAGTGAGAGCTGCACAGTATAACGGGGTTAGAATGTACGCTGATGGCCGCAGCCTAGACTACCCACAGCATTGAAGTCCAATCAAGAACGCGAACAAAACAACCGGTGCAGTATACTGTCCGTTTGCATTGTATGACGGATGCGTAACTGAGAGACAGTTTGAATGATCAAGCCTAGCAGTGCAGAACAGACTCACGTCGCAGGTACAGGTACCCAAACAAGGAGCAAAGTAGTCCCGTCACGTAGGCTCCAAACATCAAAGCTGGTTTCCGATGTCGTGTGAGGGCGACACACTTGTCGATGAAAAGTACTTACTCATTCCAACGAGAGAATCGTTGACCAGCGCGTCGATCCCTGGAGAGTTCAGTATAAATACGAGATTCCGCCAGTATAGAGCACATTACCCCGGTCCTTGAATAACCTCCATGTGTCCTTGGCTGCTCGAATGTATGGCTTCCCGTACAAAGCTAGGCAGCGAGTCAGAGGACATCTCGGTTTTACGAAGAGGTCAGCTCACCTATTTCAATGTACGCGTAGCGATTAAAATATTCCACCATACTCTCGATGCACCCGATGAAACACTCGGCGCAACAAGCGAGGCATGCTTCCACGGCTGCGTGTCCAAGTGAATCAACCTATTCACATCGCCACCCGACCTGTCTATGACTTACGGCTACCATTTGCATTTGCATTATTGCGCGCAGCATCGAGCAATAGTCTAATTATCTCGAGAATAGTGACAATCAAAGAACCGAAGGCAATGGAGCCCAGGGAAAATGTTGATGCGCGAGCAAAGGCGCCAAGAGTCGGGTGTTTTGGCTATTCTCGAAATTGCATGACATAGCCCATAGTGTTAGACATGATACTCACCATTTGTCCCTGTTCGCGAGGACCAAAGTAATACCAACCTTTTGCAAATTGAGTATAGTGTAATGAGAAGTACGGAACTACGTACTTCCGTACGGACCACCAGCAAGAGTAGCTAGTGCAACATTGCCGATGACTTGCGACGTCCAAAGGTAGGAGAAGACAGCGTAAAAGATGAGGCCGGCTACCTTCCCGGACGAGCAAGAAGACGTGCTTTCGCAACCTGAAGTTCCAGTTTAGGGTCGAAAGGTCGCAAGATAAATCGCGCACTAACTTGGACTCCCGGGAGTCCACTTGGTGTATCTGTCCCAAAGTTAGATCGCTGCAAGGAACAAGAACACTGCCTACATAGCAACTGCAGTGAATGTAAACCAACTGGATCATGTTTAGCAACGATAAGTAGAGACACGTAGGAGGCTAATGCTCACACGCTCAATGCGGCTTGCAACAACAGGGCAGCAAAAGCCACGAAGTAAACGCTGAGGTGGTGCTTGGAAATGTCCATGACAACCTGTAAAAGCAAAGATGCCAGAGGAATGCGAGACCTAAAACCGAAATACGCAAGCACAGAGAACAGGGCTATGATCGTGAAGATGATTGCCCCGGCTGCATGCAAACGATCAGTCACTGTCCTGTGGATCAGACGGACGAGCTCACAGTAGTATTGCGTTATCCAGTAGTAAACGCAGATTGCACTGGGATGAGAGTTAGTGAACGACGTGGTGAGGGAAGGACGGCTAATTACATGTTCAGGACAATGGCTAAAATGAGCGTAATGTGCATGATTGCTTGCGTGAAAGCCCGAGCCAACATGAGATACGCTGTACACAGTAACAGACCAGCGGCGGTGACAAGCAGCAGAAGATAGACGGTGTGTCTGGTCGACGACTGGTGTTATCCATTGAACGCGACCTAGCTTCAAGGTACGTACTGATCGAGCGTGATCGAAGTGCCGGTCTGGCTGCCGTTGCCGAGACCACCCCCCAGCCCTCCATCGTTCACCCATTGAGAGAGAACAATTCCAGAGAGCGCAGCAAAAGCCAATAGCTACGCAATACAATCAGTAGTGTGCAATGAGGCTATGCAAAGGCAGGCCAACCTGAAGGATGAAGAATATCAAAAAGAAAACGTCGTTGACTCTCTTCTTTGGCTGGAAGCGCCCATCTTCGAATGGGGACTTTGAATCGCCGTATGCCTGGTCAGGCGGATATGAGGGTTGGATGATTGGCTGGGCGTAAGGCTGAGAGTAACCGGGAGCTGGTCGACCATCGTTGATGAAGGGCTGGTATTCGTGCCCCTGTTGGACCCATTGGTCTTTATTCCAGTTGGCCATGGTGGAAACCGTCGTCAATTAGTACAAGGCTTCAGTACAAGGCCTGAGTCGAGATGGAAAGCTGAAACCACAAGGCCGTTGGTTTTTGGGCTGGGGGGTTTGCACGGCGCATTGCGCTTTTATGTACTGCCAGCGTAGCTGCAAGTCGAATTTCGAATGCACGCTGTTTCCACATTAGGCAACCAGTTACATATTACCACCAGAGTGCTAGTTGGCGTTGTGGAGTAGCCCACTAACTAGGAAAAAGAGAATACGTAGGTGTCATTTGGCAGGGCCAGGATCAACCTCACCGTGTCCCCTTTGAAGATGAAGGCCACTGGCTGATTCAAACGAAAAGTCAGAGATTGCAGGGTTTTTTTCACACCGACCACGGAGACAAGGGTGTCCAGGACGTGATAGTCCGCGTCTCAAGCATGTTCAATCAAGTTGCGCCATAAAATAGACGCTTGCCACTGTATTGGCTATGCTTGGCATTTATGTGGGGGAAAAGCTTATCGGGTCCGATGGACAGAGAGCAATTCTTGCACTACCAGATGTGGGTGGATCTGTAGCGCCGGAATACACTCGTGACACTGATACCAACTACGTATGCCAGGTTCTGCCAGTTAGCTCACGTGAATAGAGACGGAGATAACACTGACGGCGCGCATATTTTTATTACACACGAACGGTCCGTGTGCTCAGTCAGCGAGCAAGTCCGAGGTCAAGAGGAGATGAGTGCGGGGATGATAACATGAGAGCCCCGTGACAAGGTCGACATCAGTCGACATCACGAATCAAGCGACTCGATTCGGAACGTGGCGTTGGCTTCTGTGGAGGCCTGCGTCTGTGTGAGTGGAGCGACGAGAACATGAGTGCGGCTTTCGGCTTAATGTCCGTGAATTGGACGTCGAGGGCAGATGTATTCTCCATGAACGGCGCACCGTGTTGTCGTGACAAGCCACCCTTGGAGGTTGGTTGACTGCGTGGCCACGACTCGATCGATAAGTAGATGGATGGATTCGATAAACGACGGGGACGAGGGTTCTGTCAAAAGCCACAAGGACTGTTGACAGCGTAGGACAGAGCGTCGGGTCCGACGTGCTAAGCTTGGCTGCCATTGGCGAGTGTAGTAGTAGTAGTAGTAGTAGTAGTAGTAGTAGTAGCAGCAGCATTAGTAGTAAGTTAAGTAGCTGGTGTGAATGTGGCAGTTGTTTTACGTACAAAATTTCCGACTCCGGTTTGCGACGTTTGATTGAGGCGATTCCTCTCTCTCCTTCAAACACTCTGCGTTTCCTTCGTCGTCGACGTGGGCGACGACGAGCTTCGTGACTCACACTCTCTATCTTGCAGGTAATCGTCATCAGCATCGTTCTTCGTCGCTGCGGGGACACAGTCCTCGTTCTACAACAGTGTCTGCAATTCATCATACGCAACACAAATCCCATCCGTCTCACCAGCCATCTTGGCTTCCAACAATACCCTCGAGTTCGCTCTTCTGGCTCATGAGCTTGTCTTTCGGCGGTCTTAGCTTGCTCACTTCCTGGAACCCCTTCTACTTATGGGATGATTCCGTCCACACCAGGAGCGAATTCAGATCTTTCGTCTGCGCTCTGGTATTCGTCGCTGTCATCCTCATCCTCGGTGAGCGTGTGTCGCCTCTATCCACATCAAATCGCTGCTCATCACGACCTTATTCCATCTTTCCCAACATGTGGTTTTGTCCCTCTTGATCTTCTATCCCGCTGATTAATCGTGATGAAACGCGTTTGCCTCAGCCTATCTCACAAACCCAACAGAAGTCTCTTTCCGGGCATACCTCACAGAACAGTCTTTTCGTCAGCATCTGAGCCATCTGGATGACGTTGCAGACGACTCGTCAACTAACGTCAACTCTCGCTTATCCCCCGCTCAAAACCACCATCTCTCTTTAGATCGTGCTACCCTCCCATTCCATTTCTCCAGTCGTGCCTCCGTGTCCCTTCGCACCCCAAAGCACGTCTTTCACACCTTTGGAATTTGTACGATTGCTACTACACGAGGTGCTGCAACCGCAAGTGGTGTTCGCAGGACGAGCACTGCCAACGGTCACGTCCATAGTGGTCATGGTGCAGACCATGATGGATCCCTCTCTTCGGACTCGTGGTTCGTCGGCGCGTTTGGTCACTGGTGGCGAGGCGGTCATGTCGAAGCTTGGTATTATGATGCCGTGGCCCGATCCAAGGATGCTGAGGGTTGGAGTTCTGGTATCCTCGGTTTCAAGTCCTTGGATAGACTGAACGATCAGAACGGTAAATAGCCTTCACCTATGACCTCAGGTAGATCCATTCATTTCACTGTCAGGTCTCCCGTTCGCAAAGCCCGTATCATGTCCTCTCCCTTCATCACGTGGAACGCCACCGAAGTTGCGTAATCGAGAACGTTCCCTTCAGCGTTCCGGACTTTCACG